TCAGTGTTCAGTTTTCATATCACAGTCTGTTAAAAATCAATTTGACGATTTATCGATAAACGACTTCCTTGGTTTATAGGAGTTTCCCAATTTTCTTCCACTGATCAGCATGTTGTATCCTACTTTGATGTCGGGGACATCGTAAGTGGCAAAGTTGATCCAAGAACTCTTTAGTCCCACGAAAAAATTAAATACCTTAAGAACCATTTCGCTCCGCCTCCTTCATACACAGGCTCTTTCTCTAAGACTGTGGTTGAGGGAAAAGACAAACATACCAAGAAGCTTGTGTTCCAGCCCTCATGGTTGGAAAAGTATACATGGCTTGTATATAGTCCTTCACAAATGGGAGGTTTTTGCAAATATTGTGTGATGCATAATAATCCACAGATCCTCGAGCACAGAAAAGGCCACTTGTAACAGCTCCATTCCAAAAGCTAGAAAAAGCCACAGGGAAAGATAGGGTACTTGAGCGTCATCAGAAAATGCAATGTCGCCAGTTGGCACTTGAAGCCGGCATTGCCATAATCCGAAGTGTTCAAAAACCAAAGGAAACCTTGCCATACAGGATTTCCACGCAAAACCAAGAGATATTTGAAAAAAACATGAACGCACTTAGAGCAATCATAAGTACCATAATATTGTGTGGCAAACAGAACATCCCTCTTAGAGGCCATCAAGATGACAGCACAAGCACGGCATCCAACAAAGGCAACTTTCATGCCATTCGTATGCTATTGGGCAACTCTGATAAAAATCTTAAAGAACTCTTACTTACTGGTGGGAGAAATGCTACAAGCACCTCAAAACCTGTACAAGAGGAGGTCATTCGCATCACTGGAGAGTTTATTCGGGCGAAAATTACACAGCCGATTCAGAGGGAAGACGCTTTTTTCTCAATCATTGGCGATGAGGTAATAGATAAATACGCAAACCAAGAAATATTAAGTGTTTGCCTTAGGTTTTTAGATCTAAACAACGATGTTTCACCTAAAATCAAAGAAGTATCTTTTGACTATGTCAAATATGATGATGATGGTGCCAGTGCCATGTCCTCAGAAGCATGTGGTGTGCAAGGAAGAATAAGGAGAATAGCACCGATGGCACTGTACACTCATTGCAACAGTCACGTTTTGAATCTCAGTGTTGCAGCCGCATGCAGGTTAACTTCCGTCAGAAACATGATTGGAACCTTAAATGAAACTTTCCTTTTCTTTCATTTTTCACCTAAAAGACAGTGATTTCTAGAACAAGTTTTAGAGAAGTGTGGTTCTACTTCCAGAAAGGCTAAAAAAAGGCTATAAAAGGCTATAAAAGGCTTATGCAAAACCCGATGGGTGGAAAGGCATGAATGTTACGAGACTTTCTCCGAACTTTACGCGTACGTTTGCATAAGCTTGGAAGCGATAGTTGATCATGGGTCGCATCCTCATGTTTATTCCTCGTTATCGTTCACGTGGGACAGGGAGACTAAAACCAAGGCACAAGGTCTTCTGGCGAATTTGAAGACATTCGGATTCATTTTCACCTTTTTGATCACAAAGAATAGCCTTGGAACACTTAAACCTATTGCAGCCAAGCTTCAGAAGAAAGACCAAGATGTCTTCCGAGCGTATTCTATGATTGATGACACTATTAAAGCAGTTGCCAGAGTGAGGTCAAACATAGAGGAAGAATGTCATGAATGGTTCGAAGACGCATCTATACTAGCTGATAAGATTGGCGCTACAGTCTCAGTACCAAGAATCACTGGGAGGCAGGAACATAGGAACAATGCACCTAGCGTAAACCCGGAATCGCATTATCGTGTTAACGTTGCTATACCTTTTATAGAACATTTATTGGAAGAAATGAGTTCAAGATTCAGCGAAGACAACAGGATTGGGGCCGAAATTTTTCCCTTGGTTCCATCTGCCGTGGTGAAGCATGACAGTCTTCGTAATTTAGCAGAAAAGCTGCAATTTTGGCAACAGGACTTACCTACACCGTCCTCTCTTCTTTCTGAGTTAAGGGAATGGCAATACTTTTGGAAACAGTACACACCCACTTTACAGCTACCGGGAAATCTTATTGAGTGTGTAAAATATGCTGATGAGGATATGTACCCCAACATACAAATTTTGCTTATTATTGGTTGTACCCTTCCTGTTAGTTCTGCCGAAGCTGAGCGTTCATTCTCTGGCTTGCGACGAATCAAGTCATATCTCAGAAACAGGATGTCTGATGAGCGGTTGTCAGGACTTGCACTCGTGCACTTACATCATGACCTTGACATTGATGTTGACGAAATCTGTACAATTCTTGTAACCAAAAACAAGAGGAGAATGTTCCAAGGGTGCATCCTTTACGAGTAGAATCCAAGTAAACGGTAAGCGGCCATGGAATTATAACGTGCAACCGCGACTGGTGGGAGGGGGTGTGGGGGGTGTGGGGGAGAAGTAATTTGCCTCAAAAGAGTCCAACAGTCCTTTCTGAACCAGAGTTTGGAACCCCCCCAGTCAAAAATTCCTGGATCTGCCCCTGTTTTGTGTTGTTCGTCAATGACTTACCCTTAAATGTCCACACGCAGATCGACATGTTTGCTGACGACACCACCCTCCTTGCTTCTTCCGATTATATAAATGTAGAAGAGCTCAAGAACACTCTCTCACGCGAAGTATCCAACGTTGATGAGTGGGCAACAAACAACAAACTGCAACTAAATTATTCCGAGACGAAGACAGTACTCATTGATGGACCGCGCCTACGAAAACGTTTAAGTAATGAAGATCGCAAGCTCTTCATCGCAAGATGGAGCTCAAGAGAAGCACGTTAGAACAGGTCGAGAGCGTCAAGCTGCTAAGCCTTGAACTTGATGAACAGCTCAGTTTCGATGTTCATATCGACTCTTTATGCAAGAAGATTTCAAAGCGTATCGGCATACTTAACAGAATTAAGGCTTACTTACCAAGAACAGAGCGTATACTTTATTATAATTCTTTAATTAAGCCACTGATATTATATTGCAGTGTAACATGGACAAGCTGCTGCAGTCATGACAATATAAATAATATATTTAAGCTGCAGCAACGCTGTGCTCGAATCATCCTAGACGCCCAACAACGCCATGGCACTATGGATCTATTTAATATTTTAGGGTGGGTGCGATGAGGATTATGGGTACTTGCCCTGCCTTTATAAACGAACTGTTAGAACTAAACAACACCCAGCACAACAGAAATACACGAGGTGCTAACTTAACCATTTCACCTAGGAGATACACTAGAGAAAAAGAGGGAGGCCGCACGTTTTCTGCAACGACCTCAACATGTTGGAATCACCTCCCCCTTAAGCTCCGCGCTTCTCAATCTGTAAATACTTTGAAGAATGCTTTATATAAACATCTTAAATTAGGTCAGCTTAGGGATAAGACTTTTACTCCTTTTTCAGATAATTTTTTCTTAGATCGCATTATCTGAGCAATATGTTACACCTTTAACTTTTAGATCTTGATTTGTTGTACATTGTGATTTTTAATTAGGTTTTAATTTAAATCTTAATTAGGTTATTAATTATAATAGGTTTTTTTCATTGTAACAATGTTTATAGAGGGCCACAAGTTAATTTGTTTTTAGTTATTAAGTGTCACCCTCTTTAAATAAAGTTTGATTGATTCATTGATTCACTGAACAGTAGTGAGTGGAGCGACAGAATTTCGTTGTGGAATACGAACAGTGGATTCCGATTTTCGAGTCTCCATAGGAAATGAAAATCAAAATTAGTAAAAGTCAACCCAATCAGAAATTGGGTGGACTGGGGGAGGGGGAGCGACTTTTGGTTCGAGTAATCGCGCGTTACGAGAAATCGAGGACCCGAGCAATCGGGATTCCACTGAAGTGAAAACAGTAAAGCTTTCACGCATTTCTCACCTACTGTTAGCATATCTATCATTTCCTCTTTCACACCTTTTTCAAGAGAAAAACAGAAATCAAACGTTATCAAGTTTCACAGTTCGTTTTTATTCCACAGTTTAGCGCTTTCGTTCACGTGAACAAAAATCCTAAGTTGTGACGGGATCATGTGAACAAGATAACATCAATACGCATGTTTTGAATTAAAACAAACTCTAGCACTGGAACAGAAGTATCATCTATTTTCACTAGAACGTCAAGGATGATGTTTTCGCTCAGTTTTGTTGGGGAGTCCAAATCCGCGGAGAGGGGGGTCCACATCCGCTGACGGATTTGGACTGGGGGGTCCAAATCCGCTAGGACACCAGCTCAAGGCAATCTTAAAGCGTCAAAATCTTCACAAACTCCGACAGTCCATTTTCTGTTCTCTTTGATTTTCAGCTCGTTATAATTTCGCCGTTTAACATGTTTAAAAGTCTTTGTTCGTTTCTTCTATGGCTACTTGTGATCACTTGTCGGTACTAATTTTATTGGTTTCTGTATAGCATATACGTAAACAATAATTCACTTCAGTGTCGGTGAAAGTGCTGGATAGTTACCCCAAGTGGTGTTCCCTATTTTTCCAACCTTTTGTCCACCACGCACAAAGTCCGCTTAAAATTTCATTCAAAATGAGATAGCGTTTAACGCTAGTCGTTCCAAAGAACATCTCACGCAGAAAATGGTACGCTGTTTGTTAACAATTTTTCCCGCGCGTTGGCAAAACTTAATGAAGAACAAAAAACACAGTCATTGTCTCTGTTACTACTGTCACTCTATGTTACTGCTATCACTCTCTGTTACTGCTGTCACCCTCTCTGTTACTGATGTCACTCATTAACTGCTGTCACTGTCTCTGTTACGGCCGTCACTCTGTAACTGCTGTCATTGTCTCTGTTACTGCTGTCACTCACTGTTACTGTTGTCACCCTCTCTGTTACTGCTGTCACTCATTAGCTGCTGTCACTGTCTCTGTTACTGCTTGCACTGTCTCTGTTACAGCTGTCACTCTGTAGCTGCCATAACTGTCTGTTACTGCTTTGACTGTCTCTGTTACTGCTGTGACTGTCTCTGTTACAACTGTCACTCTGTAACTGCTGTCACTGTCTCTGTTACTGCTGTCACTGTCTCTGAACTGACGTCATTGTCACTGTAACCTCTGTAACTCCCAATTGCTTCTGTCACTCTCTCCATTAAAGCTAGTTGTCACTGTAATCTTAAATATCCATATCATTACCTGGGTGTTCCACAAATTCTTGAGATACACAAGTCAATTAATTGGTAACCTGGTATTCATTGGTATTCATTACAATATGACAGATAAGTTGAAGTAGGATTTTGCAGTTGCTATCTTCATGTGTGCACAAAGCTATCTGGTTGACTAACTCCTTTATTTACACAGTTTAGGGAAGAATATTCCCAATTTTTTCCTCTTTAGAGATTATCTACAGGTGAATTTGTGTCACTTTTTTCTTTTTTTTTATGTTACCCTAAGCATTATTACAAAGAATCTTAAATAGCACAAAATTATTACAAAGAATCTTAAATAGTACAAAAATAAATTGTAAGTGCCCAAAAATAACTGATTTTTGTAAGAAGGTTCTTTTAACTTGAGAAATTTGATTATGACCACATAATACAACATATGTAAAAAACATAAATTATCAGCAAGCATAACACTGAGTGAATTGCACTCTAGAAGGGAAAAAAATAGCAAGCAAAGTAGATGTTTTTTAATCTGTTAGGTCATCTTTCCTCTATTGTCAAACAAAAGTAACATGTCAAAAATCAATTAGTTTGTTGCACTTGAATCAGAGGCTGAAAAAAGACCTCTGTCACTAAACAAAAGGTAGTCAAAATAGCCTCAAGGCTGTGGTTTTAACCCATAGTTTGCAAGAAAGAGAATCTGCTCATGAATTTGCAATGAAGTCACTAAGTTAGATTTAGAACAACAGCAAATTTCCTCCAGTTTCCTTGTTCAGGTGTCCTCAGATCTCCTACAATGTCTTCTGGTCTACATCAAGAAAATAGTCATGAAAACTATTATTTCATGGAAAAAAAAGAAAGAACCAAACAAAATTTGAAACAATGTCATGCATAACACAGATATGTACAACCAAAGCAGAAAAATTTTTTTTGCCAGAACATGCAAAACAACCAGAATGAGAACACTCTGAGGGAGTAAAATTGGAATCTTGAGGAAAATGCAGATATTCTCTCACTTTTAGGGCTTTCACCAGGTAAGTCTGATGCTTAAATTGGTTTTAACCTGTTCACTTGACTGCCTCCTTTCCCAGTCAGAAAAGTAAACTATAAGCTGTAAATCATAGTGAGGCAAACTTACAAAGACTAAACATTTGCATTTGAGAGAGAGAGAAACTCAGTGAGAGATCAATGATCCATAAATAATGTCCAGTTATCCCTACTAAGTCTACCCTCAGACTGTATTCATATTGCTTTAGGACAGTGTATATACCACATAGGAACCAAAAAACTAGTTTTGTTCTGACAACATACAGAAAAATGGGTGGAAATTAATTGATTGTTGATGAGCCAACATACCTTAACTCTTTTTTATTATGAAGGATATGAAAGTTCACTGCTGGTATCAACAGTCTTAAGGCCATTCTCATCTTAAGAGAGTCTACTGTTTCCATTTCCCCAAGAACAATCCTGTTGGATACAATATATTTGTTGTCTTCTCAATATCTATTTTATAATAAGTGTACAGAAAGCAAATTTGTAATAGGACTCTCAATTTAGATCTAAGACAGTGCACTTTAAGTTTACATAATAATAATAATAATAATAATAATAATAATA